TGCCTGACTTGCTTCTCCAGGTCTCACTTCCCATCTTTGAGCTCTCTTGAAGGTGGTTTCAGTATTTCTGTAGGTGACAAGCAGCAGAAGTTTTGATTTCTAGCAGAAATGCTATACAGGGCCTCTCTATTGGTAAAAGCAGACTGTCCCCCTTTTACATTTGAGACTGAGAGCCCTTTTCTCCACTCCATCGCAGAAACTTCAAATGCCCCTGTCCTGCAGAGTTCCTGAGATCTGCAGCAAAAGGGGCAGGGCGAAGGCTCTGCTACTTCTCTCCAATGGACCTTAGGGGCGATGTGTCAGTGGAGCTGCCTTTTTGTGCCCCATAGGAGCCAAATTGCACCCAAATTCTACCTGTGTTCCACCAAAAGACCATCACTCCTGATCTTTGTTTTAAGCTTCTGGCACGAATTTTCTTCTTGACCCTTGTTTTTAGTCTTTTCCCAAATTGTCTGTGTCCCGTGTTTGAGTTATGGCAGGTGGAGAGTTGTCTCTTACGTGTTCCTACCTTGGGCTGATGGAAGGCTTCATCAGGCCAAAAAGGGTCTGCAGTCCAAGGGAGGTAATGGAATCCATCTTTTCCATAATATCAGGAGAAGTGAGAGATGAGGGAGTAGGTTCTAGGACACTGTCTCTTCCTGAATCTCTGTCTTCCTAACAGCTTTCTGGCAGTTTCCAGCACTTCGTTATGTGAAGAAGTACCGCTGGGTGAAACTGTTTTTGTTTAAATAGACCCTGACATTACTATAAACATACCCAGCATGTATTATTTCTGTCGAAGTGGCAGGCATATAGTAGATGGAATCTCTGGGCAGAATATCAATGCCTTGATTTTTTTCCAACCTTCCGTGCAGCATTGAAGAGGGCCACTAGGACTAGCCAGTGGAGATTGAGATATAATTGCTTGCCTAGAGCAGTAATCTCTTGGTTACACCACCTGAATACCAATGAGGACACATGAGACAGAAGGAGGGTGTCAAACAGAATCATGGGGAAGAGAGAGAAATAGAAGTGGAAAGGAGGACAAATGATTAAGAGAAGAGACCAAAAGGCAGAGTGAGGACAATAGACTGTTTTTGTTTGAAGTCTGATACTGGGGAATGATTTGTATTTGTAATGAAATTTTCAGGAGCAAAACACCTTACACAATCAATGATATAGAAAGAAAATGGGGGAGGGGAAAGTATGCAGATTGATCCAAAGTGCCACTGAAAAGAATACTCCTAGGGGTGGGGAGAGAAAGGGAACAGAAGCCAGGATGAGTAACTGGAAATTAGCACATCCCTTTTAGCTTGATTGCTAATGCACCAAGAGTTTTTAATTGAATTCTCTCCTATACTCCTTTTCTCTCAATAATTGACCTCAGTAACTCTTCTTAAGGCAATTTAGCTTTAAGCAACATTAAAACTTGACATCACCTTGCTGTGCAACTGTCTGCTTAGGTGCAGTTTCATCAGCTCTAGCTTCACGGACTTGGTGCAATTCTATGTTATTTCTGAGAAATAGAAATCTAAGGCCAGATCATCCCCGTCCATGATCAGAGGGTTCCAAAGGCAGTTTGGGAGTACAGAATAGCTCTGTGGCATTGTCTCCCCTTCCTTGCATCTCACAAATGTAATCCTGCAAGTGCACTGCATGGCTCAAGCTCTGTATATGAAAAGAGGGCTTGTCTGAAGAATGTTTTCTCCATGGCATCTGTAGAATAAATATAAAATTAGAGAATTAAAGTTAGCTTTAGTTTGGTTAAAGAAATGTAGTGTAAAGAAAGGCCCTAATTAGCAAGTAAAAGAGAGGCCTTGAAAGTAATGAGTTATAAGGCCAGAAGGAATGAAGTAGAGAGGATGTCTGGTTCAAAGAATAGCTAATGAAATAAGGGGAAGTTTCTAAAAAGAAGGCCTCTGACTGATAGGGGTGACTGCAGATGGTTTTAAACAAGACAAAGCAAATCTGTCTTAAGAGCTAACATAGATCTTCCCAACCCACATGCTAATGTTATCTCAAAAATTAGGGCCTACGTGAACCCAAGTGCAACAGAAGAACTGTTGGTCAATGAAAAGGAGGGAAAGAGATAGAAAGGAAAGTCTTTGGGGAGAAAGAAGGTTATAAATCTTATCTGGATTAAGGCTAGAAATAAGGGTGAACTGTCTCAAATTGGTTTTTAGCTGGAGTCAGTAGTTGGCAGTGACATCACTTGTTTGTTAAAGGGTATAAAAAAGTAAACTTGTAAAGGGTTCATTGCTGATACCTGCCTGACCAAGTTGGAGCTGACCAATATAGGTCTAAGCATCCCTGAGTTTAGCCCATTTGTAAGTACTTTGATCTAATACTTATCAATGTTTTCAGAGTAGCAGCCGTGTTAGTCTGTATCTGTAAAAAGAAAAGGAGTACTTGTGGCACCTGAGAGACTTATGCTCTAATAACTTTTTTAGAAAAAAAAGATGCATCCGATGAAGTGAGCTGTAGCTCACGAAAGCTTATGCTCAAATAAATTGGTTAGTCTCTAAGGTGCCACAAGTACTCCTTTTCTTTTTGCGAATACAGACTAACACGGCTGTTACTCTGAAACCAATAACTTTTTAGTCTCTCAGATGCCACAAGTACTACTTTTCTTTTATCAATGTTTTGTTATGGATGTAGTAAATAGCTTATTTAGGTTTTTGGGCATGTTTATAGCAATTATATAAATACCATTTGGCCTTTGGATTTAATAAAGCAATTTATGGTTAAATTGGTGTCACGATAAAAACCTGCATAAATAATAATCCCAAAAGCATTACTACTTTCTACTCCCCAAAGCTGTGGGGAAGCCTTGCGTAGGCTGACCCTTGGTATCCAGTTGGGGCGGGGGGACTAAACATAGCTGAGAACCTGTTTGAATGCACAATCTCAGCATATTTGGCCCTGGTCCCTACAGATCTTGGTGGACCAACTGCTTTAAAAAAAAAAAAAAGAGTCCTTGTGGCACCTTAGAGACAAGCAAATTTATTTGGGCATAAGCTTTCATGAGCTAGAACCCACTTCATCAGATGCATGGAGTGGAAAATACAGTAGCAGTTGTGTATATATATACACATAGTACATGAAAAGATTGGACTAGCTTTACCAAGTGCGAGGTCAATCTAATGAGACAATTCAATTAATAGTAGAATACCAAGGGAGGAAAAATCATTTTTATAGTAGTAATGAGGGTGGCCCATTTCAGGCAGTTGACAAGAAGGTGTGAGTAACAGTAGGAGAAAATTAGTATGGAGAAATTAGTTTTTGTAATGACCCATCAACTCCCAGTCTTTATTCAGGCCTAATTTGATGGTGTCCAGTTTGCAAATTAATTCCAGGTCTGTAGTTTCACGTTGGAGTCTGTTTTTGAAGTTTTTTTGTTGAATTGCCACTTTTAAGTCTGTTATTGAGTAACCAGAGAGGTTGAAGTGGTGTTCTACTGGTTTTTGAACATTATAATTCCTAATGTCAGATTTGTGTCCATTTATTCTTTTGCGTAGAGATTGTCCGGTTTGGCCAATGTACATGGCAGAGGAGCAACTGCTTTAAGTCACGGTCTCATTCTGGAATAATGCAATGGAAACTCTAAGGCGGAGCTTGCAGCCACTTCTGATGTGGACTGTTCCCATGTAAAGGTTGATCTGGGCTGTAGTTCGTAACATTCAAAATCTGCACTATAGACTCACCCATTTGCCTTACTCTGGGTGAATCAGACTTTGGAAGCATGGAGAGGGGAAGGCAGTATGTCGCACCAATATTAGTTGCACCTTGGCACTTCATCTGCTAGGTTGAGGAATTTTTTCTGCGTGCCTCCAGGTAGTGGAGCCTGTGATACCTTCTGAAGTGGTGAGGAGGGGATGTTACCAAACCTGCCCCTTGGTCTCTCCTGGAAAGCCTTGTTGGCTGAAGATTAATTTAAAATTGTTAGGAGTATGAAAAATGCTTCACAAATGTTTCTTATTTTACACAAAAGCAAGAAAGCTAGTCTAAGCAAAAGACTGAAGAATATCACTTTTATATACTTTTGCGCTATTAATTTTAGACTCCACTGCAGATAGGCTTTAGTAGGTAGGTTGGGGGGGGTGTTGTGAAGAGGATGAGTGTGTATTTGACTTATATCCTGCACATCATGTCCCAAAAGTCTGAAAGGTATAATGGAATGAATGTACTATTACACTATACCTCTCATTTTCACCCCTAGTAATTGTATTGTGTTACCTCACATATATACACAATAGTTAATATCACAACTATTAAAATGAAAATGAAAATAAGAAAGAAGACAAATTGAACTATTGCCATTTTTGTGATCAGGAGGCAGCTCTAGGAATTTTTATTGTTTTAAAGCCACATAGCTGGAAAATGCACCATCACAGTTTGTTATATTATTGTAGAGTCACTTTTGTATTGGGAACATTTTTATTGGGTTTGTTAGTAAAGAATCAATGAATAAGCAGTTGCAGTCACTGTGCAAAATGACACCTGATAGCAAGATGGTGCAAAAGTCTCAGCTGTACAATCCAATAACATGTTTTATTTTTATGAACTCTTTATGAGCCCAAATTTAGGTACTAATTCAAAAACAAAATAAACAGTACAATTTATTTTCTTCCCTAGAAGAGTATTAAGAGTGTGACAAATATAAAAGATAAGAGAATACAGTAGGGTTGAGGAATCAATATAGTCAGTCCTATGCTGGAGTGAAAGAACTTATTTACAATAATATACCTACAAACTAGCAAGTTTCCCAAACAAGGCAAATTTAAACAATTATTTCCATATCAAGCACAAGATATTGAAGTGAGCTTGAGGAGGAATTCAAACTGTAACTTAAAGATGCCTCTGATAAGGCTTTCAGAGAGTTTATTTAGCCTGGTGGGACAGGGAGCTTGGTTAAAAGGGGAACTACCATCAGTCATGTGGAGTTTTGGTAGTCAGTTTTGGTGCTGCTATAAGAAATGTTTAAAATTATGCAGAGTCATGCTGTTGTTTCTCTCTTACAGCTCAAAACCACAGTGACACCCAAGTGTTCTTCTACCTGTGGATTGTCTTCTATTTAATCAGCTCCTGCTACACTCTTATTTGGGACCTGAAGATGGACTGGGGTCTCTTTGACAAGAATGCTGGTGAAAATACCTTCCTTCGGGAAGAGATCGTCTACCCACAGAAAGTGAGTACACAGCCTTTTGTCATTTTGGGGAGGGTCTGCCAATGTTTTAACAAAACACTTGGGATTAAAGGCACATTCTGATTGGTTGCTGGAGTGTCTTAAATGCAGTGTGTCAGAAGTTCTGACAGTATAATCTGTCCATTACCAAAGAGACAGTCCCATCTTTTTTATGATTATTGAAAGCCATAGGTGCTGACTCTGGAAAAAATCACAGGAAAAAAATTAAAGGGTGCTTAGCACCCACTTGCAGCCAGCTTCTCCCTTCCCCTTCCTCCACAGTGTCTCCCGCCCACCAGCGACCCTGCCGATCAACTCCTTCCCCTTCCTCCCAGTGCCTACCACCTGCCGCAGTCAGCTGTTTCACAGTATGCTGGAGGTGCTGGGGGGAACACACTTAGGGGAGAGGATGGAAATGGGCGGGAAGGGGCAGGGTGGGGACTTGGGAGAAGTAGTGGGGGTTGGAGTCTGGGGCAGAGCAGGGGCGGGAAGAGGTGGAACGGGGTGGGGGCTTAGGGGAAGGGGGCAGCTGGATGCAAGGCCCAGACCCGGAGGAAGCTAGTGCCCTACAGAGACCAAAAAAGTAATACCCATTGTGATGGGTTCAGTCACAGAGACCCCCTTGGGACTGTCACCTGATGTGCTGACATTACCTCTGAGCCCGTTTTCCCTGCCAGCTTGGGACTTCCAGAACCCTGTCTTGTTGAGCCAGACATGCTAGCCTGCTGCAACACAGACCCAGGGTCTGGTCCGTGCCCCCAAAGCTGCAGGCTTAACTAAAAAGAGCTCAGCAGGTTACCTCTCCAGCACCCAGACACCCAGTTCCAAATGGGAACCAAACCCCAAATCTGTTTTACTCAGTATAAAGCTTATTCAGGGTAAATTCATAAATTGTCTGCCCTCTATAACACTGATAGAGAGATATGCTTAGCTGTTTGCTCCCCCAGTGGTTGCAGATGTGTATTTCACTCAGGTGTGCATGGGCCCAGCACACTGAAGCTGGAGAATTGTGCTTAGCGGTATCCATCAGGACCTAAACTTGCCTTTTAATTTCATCTTGTTGATCCTTGTTATATTCCCAGTTATACCATCCTAAGTAATTCCTTTCTCGTTAATGTTTACACCCTTCAGTTATTTGTAGATGGTTGCCCCCTTTCCTCCCACTATTGAAAAGCAGAGGCAGGAAGACATAAAAGGTCTTGTGACAAAGTTCCTCCTCTACCTTGGTGGATCTTGTGCGTATTGGCGGATTTGCTCGCCTTGGAGCTTCACAGCAGCCCTGAGTTTGGCCATTTTCATGAACCCACAATCCAGGTCAACTCCTCCTGTGTCTGACCAGGAGTTGGGAGGTTTTGGGGGGAACCTGGGCCTGCCCTCTACTCTGGGTTCCAGCCCAGGGCCCTGTGGTATGCAGCTGTTTAGAGTGCCTCCTGGAACAGTTGTGCAACAGCTACAACTCCCTGGGCTTCTTCCCCATGGCCTCCTCCCAACACCTTCTTTATCCTCACCATAGGACCTTCCTCCTGGTGTCTGATGATGCTTGTACTCCTCAGTCCTCCAACAGTCCACATTCTCACTCTCAGCTCCTAGCGCCTCTTGCTCCCAGCTCCTCACACACACACCACAAACTGAAGTGAGCTCCTTTTTAAACCCAGGTGCCCTGATTAGCCTGCCTTAATTGATTCTAGCAGCTTCTTGATTGGCTGCAGGTGTTCTAATCAGCCTGTCAGTCTTAATTGTCTCCAGAAGGTTCCTGATTGTTCTGAAACCTTCCCTGTTCCCTTACCCAGGGAAAAGGGACCTGCTTAACCTGGGGCTAATATATCTGCCTTTGATCACTCTCCTGTAGCCCTCTGGCCTGGAGAGAGCAGGAGGGAGAGGGCTGCTGCTCCTAGGCCCTGGGCTCTCCCTGCTGCTACTGCTGTTGCTGCTCCAGCTGCTCCCCTGGCTGGGCCAGAAACCACCCCCCTTCTCTGCTACCTGGTTGCTGGCCGGCTGCTGGACCCCCCCACCCTCGGGTGCTGCTACTGCTCCAACTGCAGCCCCTTGCGGGGGGGCCTGCTGGCCCGCTCCCCAGAAGGGGGGAGTGAGGGGCCCCAGCCGTTGCTGCTGCAGACACAACCATCATCACCACCTGTGAGGGGTCCTATCTGCCTGCCTGGCCACCGGGCTGCTGCCTGGAGCTGCTGCTGCCTTTGCTGCCTGGGAGCTGCTGGACCCCGAAGGAGGAGGGGACGAGGCTATCTGCTGCTGGGGGAGCGCACAGGGACTCTGCAGACCACTGTGGAGGGGGCCTTAAGGCTGAGTAACTTTTGAACTGTGCTCTTGTGGTGGGGGTTTTGAGTGTGTTTGTGGGGACATGGGGTGTGGCGTGGAGCCTGCCCCCCAAGTCCATCCGTGTGTCCCCCCAATCCCCCACCACCACTGTCGTCGCTGCCCCCTCCACCACCCCCAGTGGACACTTACCATCTGCCTCAAGCTCCTGCCTCTGGGACTCTGCTGCTTGCTTGGCTGGCCGTGCTATTTCTCCACCTTTTTTGGGCCTGAAGCAGCAGCCAGCCCATACTGACTCTTTTGTGCAAGCGCACATGCCCCCACCCCCTTAAACTGACCACCTTCAGCAAGCCCTCAGCTTTGTCCCTTGCTACCTGCCCCATTTTGCCCCTTGCAGCCTTTTGCACCCCCCCTTTTACCCCAGCACCTTGCTAGCTTCAGTTTGTTTGCCTGCCTCGCCGTTTTCCCTCTGCGGCTTTTGTTTGTTTGCCCCGCCCCAGCCTCTGTTGCTAGCCCCTTGGTTCCCTGTCCTACCTCCAGCCTGGTTCTCCCCCTCTCCCCACGTGGTTCCCCTGCCCTGATTGGCCCCTTACTCAGTGTGCCCATGCCCCCTCCCATGTGCTTGTGCTCTTCCCCGTTTGAGTTTGCCCCGTCTCACTGCACCCCCCTAATGTTATGATCCCCCTCCCCTAGTGCAGCTAGAGGAGCCAGATTCCCATCCTGAGTCAGTGGCTGCCCCCCACGAACACTTGATAGCCCCCCTGTCCAGCCCACCCCTTTTGACGCCCTCCTCCCCTGCCTGCAGCCTAGCGGGGAGGAGTGGTCGACCTGTCTCCCCCTTCCCCTCCTCTCTCTGGTGTTTTTCCCTCCCTCCCTGCTCATTATGGTGGGGGACACAGTGGGTGGGGCTCCTCCAGCAGCCCCAGCTGCCCCTCCCCCACCTGACCCTCCATTACCCCCACAAGCCTCTACCTCAACCGCTGCTGCCAAACCACCTGCCACCGCCCCCGCTGGGGTGCTGGCAGCGGCGGGCACCGGGGTGACCTCCGCTGCTGCCACGTCCCTCGCCCCCTCAGATTCGGGGGGAGCCCCCCCAGCCGGCAGGAAGGGCCAGGGTAAGAAGAAGGGGAAGGGCCCTGCTAAAAAGACCAGGCCCTCCATGGCAGGGGCACCCCCACCGCCACGGCCCCACCACTATCCGTGGCGTCCCTCCCTGCTGTTCCCTCCACCAGCTCTGTGGGTGCCCGTCCCCCGGCACCCAGGGCATACGCCCAGGTGGCAGCAGCCCCCCCGCCTGCCACTACGCCATCTCTCCCACCCACCGCCTCCGCTACCATCTATAGCGGCTGGGACCCCTTTCCCACCATGACCAGGAAGCACGACGTCCGTTGCCTCCTGGTGCCCACGTCACCCCATGTGGAGACCTATGTGCAGGCGTTGGCGAGGGTGGTGGGGTCCACGGCCATTGTAGCAGCCTCCAAAATGTATGGCAAGGTCGTCGTCTTCTTAGCATCGGAGGCCGCCGCCCAGGAGGCGGTGGAGAAGGGCCTGGCAGCGGGGGTGGGGTTTGTCCCCCTGGAGCTGCTAGAGGACCTGGGCGTCCGCCAGGTCCTGACCTCTGTCCCTCCCTTTCTTCCCTATGCTGCCCTGTTACCCGCCCTCTCTACCCTTGGGAAACCCATCTCCTTTGTCAGCCCTTTCCCGTTGGGCTGCAAAGACCCCGCCTTCCATCACATCCTCTCGTTCCGCCAGCAAGTGCAGCTTCTACCGCCGCCGGCGGCACGTGACAGAGATGCTCGAGGGGTCATTCCTGGTCCCCTACCAGGGGGCCCATTTCCGGGCGCATTATTCCACAGGGGAGGCCCGGTGCTATCTCTGCTGGGCGATGGGGCACGTCTGGAGGGACTGCCCCCTGGCCCAGCAAGGGGGGGCAACCGGGACTCCCAAGCCCCAGCAGGGTGCCGGCCCTGTCATTGCCGGTGCCCCAGGCTGCCCGGCGCCGCCCCTCCTCCTTCTCAGTCCACCAGTGCTCCCACTCGGGCCCAAGGGGTACTTCCCCCAGCACGCCCAGACGAGTGAGAGAGCCCTGCCTCTGCTGCCTGCAATCTGGCGGGGCCCCTAGAGGAGGGTGCAGCAGGGATACCGCCAAGCATGGGAGAGTGCCCCCCCCAGGGGGAATCTTCCCTCCCTCATGCCACCCCACCGCAGCCTCCCACAGTCCCTGAGCTATCGCCCCTGCCCCCCGACCCAACCCCTGTTAGCCGGCCCCCAGATGATGCCATGGAGGGCTGGGCCCTAGTCCAGGGGAAGCGGGGCAAGCGAAAGGCTCGAGCTCCGCTCCTTTCCACTGATACGGAAGCCCCCCAGAAGACCAGAAAGGGGGGCACCGATGCCGAGCCTTCTGCCTTGCCCGCAGATGCGTTCCATCCACCAGTACTGGCTGGGGAAGGCTTGGCAGCACGGGAGAGCAGTACCACGCCTCCATTGGAGTCCCTCCCCTCCAAGGCCCCGATGGAGCCCCTGTGAGCCCCGAGGCGAGCGTCGCTTCAGGCACTGGTGGGGAGAACTCCGGGGTGGTGGAAGGAGAGCTCCCTTCTATCTACAAGGAGATCGAGGCCCTGGGTCTGACCATGGTCACCCAGGGGGAGGACGACCCTCTACCAGTGGGCCTCGATCTGAGCGACCTCACCCCGGCCCCCCCCTTCTCCATGCTCCCTCCCCCTAACTGC